AGCGGCGGGGGGGGAAGGGGGGCAGTGCGGTAGGGGAAGAGACGGTAGTACGGAACCGACTCGTCAAACGTGACGTCCTGGGAGGACAGAACACGACGCGAGGTGGGGTGGTAAAACAGCCAACCAGGCGCGTCAGGGGGAAAGCCGAGGAAGACGCAAGGAACAGCACGGGAGGACAGCTTGTCCGCAGACAAGTCTCGGACGAAAGCTCGAGATCCCCATGATGTGATGTGATGTGAGTAGACACCATGGAGCAGCCGCATGGATCATGGACGTACGAGCGACATCCATGACCATGCCAATGCGGCGCTCAGCAATCCCATTTTGCTGTGGAGAGGCCGGAAGCGTGAACGTCTGGCGGATGCCCTCCGCACGACAGAAGGCTCGCAGAAGGTCGGAGGAAAACTCTCCGCCTCTGTCGGAGTGCAGACGCAGAACAGGAAAGTCCGAGTCGAAACGCTCTCTGAGCTGGAGACGAGCAACGCGGATCCAGTCGATCAACACCTCAGTGACCTCACCCTTGCTGCGCAAGGGGAAGACAGTGGTGTAACGCGAGTAGTCGTCAACCACCAGCAGGAAGTAACGCTCGTGACCCTGTCCACGGACGCGGGCTGGGCCCCACACGTCCATGTGAAGAGTCTGCAGCGGAGCCTCTGTTGGGGGAAACTCGGAGGAGTGAGGAGCGGCGCGCTGCCGCCCCTCGACGCAGGGAACGCAGGTAGGGGCAGGCCCTGGGGGAAGGGGAGGGAGGGACCGGGGGAGACCAGAGACAAGGACACGGGAGGCCATGCCTCGGAGACGAGGCAAGGAGGGGTGACCAAGGCGGTGGTGCCAGAGGAGGGTCTGGTGGGACAGGAGGCGACACGAGCAGGGGGCAGACTCAGGACCTGACCGAGACGCTGCAGCAAACACCTGACTCGACGCAGCTACCTGACCAGATGCAGCAACCGGAGGAGACTCTGTGGTCAGTGTGTACAGGCTCGACCCCGGTCGACGGGTAAACGAGGCCAAGTGGCGGCCCGTCTGAGCACACGTGCAGTGGGTCACTCGCTGACCTGCAGGAGTGAACTGGTCAACTCCGGCATCCTGAAGGTCAGCACCACTCACCAAGTTCGTGGAGAACGAGGGGAGGTAGAGACCAGACAGGGAGCCTGACGGGGCCGCCGGACACGGGAGGACAGTGGAGTAGCGAGCAAGGACAGGACCCCCAGAGGGGTCTGCCAGGGAGACCGCAACCGGCCGACTGAGCGGCGTAAGGGTGGTGCGGTCTCGAAAGAAGGAGCGGGAAGCACCCGAGTCGAGGGTGAAGGTGTGAAAGACCTGAGCAGACTCGGTACCTGAGAGAGCAGACTCACCAGCACCTAGAGCAGCAGACTCACGAGTACCTGGAGCAGCAGACTCACTAGCACCTAGGGCAGCAGCCTCAATACCAGGGTCAGGCGGAACACACAGGTAACAGTCACCCTCAGCACTAATAGACACAGCATACATGGCAGCAAGAATAGCATCAAAGTCAAGATCAAAGATAGCTACCCCCGACCTGAATAGATCTCCCCAACGAGGGATCTCAGTGGCGTCCGGGAACTGGGCACGCCAGGCGTCCGTCAGGCGACCGAAGCAGCGCTGGGTGGCGTGCAGGCCACCACACTGCTCTCCAGTGCGGTCACCGGTGCGCAGGACGTAAGTACAGGGACCAGCACCTCCAGACCCCTGGCGCCCCGCGTACCACTCACGAAGCTGCTGGGGCGAAGGGGTCTCACGAGAGCGCTGCTGCTGCTGGGGTCCCCGCTGCACAGCTCCGCCTCTGCCAGCTCCACCTCCGCCGCCGCCGCCTCCGCCTCCTCCACCCCTCCCGCCACCGCCACCGCCGCCTCCGCCTCCTCCACCCCTCCCGCCACCGCCACCGCCGCCTCCACCTCCACCGCCGCCACCGAAGCCCCCACCTCTACCACCACCCCCACCCCCACCCCCTCCTCCGCCTCCACCGCCACTACCGCCGCCCCCACCACCTCCTCCAGCTCCCTTGCCCCGCTTGCCCTTGCTGATGCGGCGCCTCTCACTAGGAGCAACGCAGCGCTGACCGACTCGGTGCCAACAAGGTCGACAGCAGCAGCAGAGGCAACAGAGGGCAAAAGAGGAACGGGGGAGCACCCCTCAAAGAAAGGGGTACGGGGGTCACCACGAGAGGCGCCTACAGCGGTGATACTAGTCTCTGCTGCAAGGAGGCGCTCCTCGAGGAGGTCGACAGTGAGGGTGGTAGGGCAAAGAGAGAGGAAGTGGTCCCTGACCGAGCAGAGAGTGTCAGGGAGTCGAGTGACTAGGTAGTAGAGGGTGATGTACATGGGGGGGGGGGTTCTGGGCGCAGAACTCAGCAGGAAGCGCAGCGCGGTAGCGAGTGTCACTAGTGCGGAGGTGCGTAATGAGGTCAGTGACTGTGACAAAAGCAGCGAGGTCAGGGAACAGGTACGGTAGCATGAGGCGGCTAAGCGCAGCAGTGGCAGGGGAAGAGTAACGTGCAACTACTGCGTCGTACAGAGTCTTAGCACTCTTGTACTGACTAAAGTGCGCGCGCTCAGTAGACGGTAGGTGACTACGCACAGCAAGGCGGGCAGCAGCATCGCGCGTGAGCCACTGCGAGCGAACGGTACTGTCAGCATCAGCAGCAGGGGCAGTAGAGGCGCCCGACGTAAGATCAAACAGGGAGAGACCATCCTTGCTATCGCACTGAAGGAAAAGCTGCAGATCATCTAGCCAGACATCAAAGTCAACCGCTCGACCCTCAGCATCAAAGGTGAGAAGACTAGGACTAGCCATGATAGGAGCAGCAGCAGACTAGCAGCGGCAGCAGTGCAACAGAGCGAGGCAGGACAGTGCGACTCGGCAGGGCGACTCGGCAAAGCAGTGCGGCTCGGCCGCGCGGCTCGGCCCGGCTAGGCTCTTACCAGGGGCGGAGCCGACAGGTCCGGGACTGGGTCGGGGCCGTGACAGGGCCGGGACAGGGTCGGGGCCGAGCAGGGTCCGGGACGGGGCAGCAACGGGGCCGGGACAGGGTCAGGGCCGGGGCAGGTCCGGGACAGGGTCGGGGCCGAGCAGGGTCCGGGACAGGGCAGCAACGGGGCCGGGACAGGGTCGGGGCCGGGGCAGGGCCGGGACGGGGTCGGGGCCGGGGCAGGTCCGGGACGGGGCCGAGGTAGGGCCGGGACAGGGTCGGGGCCGGGGCAGGTCCGGGACGGGGTCGGGGCCAAGGCAGGTCCGGGACGGAGTCAAGGCCGGGGCAGGTCCGGGACGGGGCCGAGACGGGGCCGGGGTAGGGCCGGGACGGAGCCTTTTAGGGGCGGCGTAGGGGCCGCGTAGGGGCCGCGTCAGGTACGGGGCCGCGTCAGGTAGGGGCCGCGTCAGGTACGGGGCCGGGTCGGGCCGTGTAGGGGCCGCGTAGGAGCCGCGTAGGGGCGGCGTAGGGGCCGCGTAGGGGCCGCGTCAGGGACGGGGCCGGATCGGGCCGTTTAGGGGCGGCGTAGGGGCCGCGTAGGGGCCGCGTAGGGGCCGCGTAGGGGCCGCGTAGGGGCCGCGGAGGGGCCGGGTAGGGGCGGGGCCGCGTCAGGGACGGGTCCACGTCAGGTACGGGGCCGCGACGGGGCCGTTTAGGGGCGGCGTAGGGTCGCGTAGGGGCCGCGTAGGGGCCGTTAGGGGCCGCTAGGGGGTCACGAAAAAAAAAAAATGTAGGGCAGGGCGCGAGACGCGCTTCGGGCAGCTAAAAAAAAAAATCTTATGGTGGGCCCTTAGGAAGGAACGGTCCCATGAGGGAACCCGCTCTATACCATGTGAAGATTGAAACAGGAGAATGGGATGAACTAGGAAAGTGTGGGATACAAATATGAAAGCTGTACCCCTTAGTGTCTACCCCACTACAGCCTACATAGGCTAAGGCATATATATATCTGACAACGTGGAGGAGTGAGGAGCGGCGCGCTGCCGGCCCTCGACACAGGGAACACAGGTAGGGGCAGGCCCCGGAGGAAGGGGAGGGAGGGACCGGGGGAGACCCGAGACAAGGGTACGGGAGGCCATACCTCGAAGACGAGGCAGGGAGGGGTGACCAAGGCGGTGGTGTCAAATGAGAGTCTCGTGCGACAGAGGACGACACGAGTAGGGGGCAGACGCAGGACTAGACCTGGACGCGGCAGCAAACACCTGACTAGACGCGGCTACCTGACCAGACGCAGAGACCGGAGGAGACTCAGTAGTCAGTGTGTACAGACTCGACCCTGGCCGACGGGTGAACGTGGCCAGGTGGCGGCCCGTCCGAGAGCAAGTGCAGTGGGTCACACGCTGACCTCCAGGAGCGAACTTGTCAACCCACGCGTCCTGAAGGTCAGCTCCACTCACCAGGTTCGTAGAGAACGAGGGGAGGTGGAGTCCCGACAGCAAGCCCGACGGGGCCGCAGGACACGATAGAACCGTGGACGAGTGTGCAAGGACCGGACCCCCAGAGGGGTCAGCCAGGGAGACTGCTACAGGCCGACTGAGCGGCGTGAGCGTGGTGCTGTCGCGAAAGAAAGAGCGCGAAGAACCAGAGTCAAGTGTGAAAGTGTGAAGGGCCTCAGTAGGTGCAGTACCAGAGAGAGCAGACTCACCAGCACCTGGAGCAGCAGACTCACCAGCACCTGGAGCAGCAGACGCACTAGCACCTAGAGCAGCAGCCTCAATGCCCGGGTCGGGCGGGACACTCAGGTAACAGTCACCCTCAGCACTATCAATCAAAGCATACATGGCAGCAAGAATAGCATCGAAATCAAGGTCAAAGATAGCCACATTCTGCCTAAGCAGATCACCCCAGCGAGGGAGCTCAACAGCGTCAGGAAACTGGGCGCGCCAGGCGTCAGTCAGGCGACCGAAGCAGCGCTGCGTAGTGTGTGGCAGACCACACGTCTCCCCACGACGGCTGCCGGTGCGAAGAACGTAAGTGCAGGGACCAGCACCCCCAGACCTCCCACGCCCAGCGTACCACTCACGAAGCTGCTGGACCGACGGGGTCTCACGGGAACGCGGCTGCTGCTGGCGCTGGCTACCACCAAAGCCTCCACGCTGCGCAGCTGCACCTCGACCAGCACCACCGCCGCCGCCACCTCCACCACTGCTGCCGCTACCTCCACCACCTCCGCCGCTGCCTCCACCACCTCCTCCGCCGCCACTGACGCCCCCACTCCCGGTACCACCCCCACCTCCACCGCCACCCCCTCCGCCTCCTCCACCGCCTCCGCCGCCGCCCCCGCCATCCCCTCCACCACCCTTGCCCCCCCTGCCCTTGCTGTTGCGGCGCCTCCCACTAGGAGCAGACGCAACCCCGACCTCCTCAGTGCCAACGAGGTCAACAGCAGCAGCAGAAGCAACAGAGGGGAGAAGGGGGACAGGGGAACACCCCTCAAAGAAAGGGGTGCGACGGTCGCCGCGAGAAGCACCTACAGCTAAGATACTCTTCTCAGCTGCAGTGAGGCGCTCCTCTAGCAGGTCGACCGTGAGCTCGGTGGGGCAGAGGGAGAGAAAGTGGTCCCTGACTGACGCAAGAGAGTCAGGGAGGCGGGTGACTAGGTAGCAAAGGGTGATGTACATGGGGGGGTGGTTCGTGGGAAGGAACTCAGTGGGAAGCGCAGCGCGGTAGCGGGCGTCACTAGTGCGGAGGTGAGTAATGAGGTCAGCGACTGTGGCAAAGGCGGCAAGGTCAGGGAAAAGGTACGGCAGCATGAGGCGTCTGAGGGCAGCAGTGGCAGGGGAGGAGTAGCGCGCAACTACAGCGTCGTACAAAGACTTAGCAGTCTTGTACTGGCCAAAATGCGCGCGCTCAGCAGGCGGCAGGTGACTACAAACAGCAAGGCGAGCAACAGCGTCACGGGTGGTCCACTGCGAGCGAACAGTATTGTCAGCAGTGGCAGCAGGAGCAGTGGAGACACCGGACGTGTGATCGAAAAGGGATACCCCATCCCTAGAGTCACACTGAAGAAAGAGCTGCAAGTCGTCAACCCACACGTCAAAGTCAACTGCACGCCCCTCAGCATCAAAGGTGAGAACAGTGGGGCTAGCCATAGTAGCAGTAGCAGCAGAAGCAGCAGAGGCAGCAGAAGCAGCAGTGGCAGCAGGCGCAGTGCAAGGAGAAGGGCAGCGCGGCTAGGCTGGGCTGCGCGGCTCGGTGGGGCGGCGCGGCTCGGCTGGGCGGCGCGGCTCGGCTGGGCGGCGCGGCTCGGCTGGGCGGCGCGGCTCGGCTGGGCGGCGCGGCTCGGTTTTTGGCGGCGCGGCGCGGCAGCAGGCGGTGCGGCGCAGCAGGGCAGCAGGTGGCGGGGTGGCGCGGGTGCTTACAAGGGGCGGGTGCAGGGCAGGGCCGCAGCTGGCGGTTTTAGGTCAGGGCCGCGGCAGGGGGCGGCTGTAGGGCAGGGCCGCGACCGGGGGCGGCTGCAGGACAGGGCCGCAGCAGGCGGCCGTGCCGTGACGGGCGGGCCGGAACTGGCGGTCGACGGGCGGCAGGAGGGGCCGTGACGGGCGGCGAAGGGGCCGACGGGCGGCTAAGGGGGGCCGTGACGGGCGGCTAAGGGGCTAGCGGGCGGCTAAAGGGCCGACGCGCGGCTAAGGGGCCGACGGGCGGCTTAGGGGCCGTGACGGGCGGCGAAGGGGCCGACGGGCGGCTAAGGGGCCGCGACGGGCGGCTAAGGGGCCAACGGGCGGCTAAGGGGCCGACGGGCGGCTAAGGGGCCGTGACGGGCGGCTAAGGGGCCGACGACGGGCGGCTAAGGGGCCGTGACGGGCGGCGAAAGGGGCCGACGGGCGGCTAAGGGGCCAGCGACGGGCGGCAAAGGGGTCGTGACGGGCCGAAAAGGGGCCGCGACAAAGGGGCCGACGGGCGGCTAAGGGGCCGACGGGCGGCAAAGGGGGCCGCGACGCGTGGCGACGGGCCAGCGACGGGCGTCTAAGGCAGGGCGCGATGCGCGCTTCGGGCAGGGCAGGAGAAATTTCGTGGTGGGCCCTAAAAAAAACGTTCCCACTAGGGAACCTGCTCAGAATACCATGTTAGAATCAGGAACGGAATGAGTGGACTAGAAAGCAGGTGGGTACAAGTAGGAAACACAAAAGTGTTGTACCCTCTAAAAACTACCCCACTACAGCCTAAACATACTATAGCATATATAAGTTTGACAGAGCTTGCGAAAGAGAAAGGCGGGTCAATTGCAGCCGATTCCACTGGCCGAGCGCGTCTGGCAGCAAGTTACCATGGATTTCGTCACGGGGTTATCTTCGAACCCTGGGGGTAACGACGCGGTTATGGTCGTCGTTGACAGACTGAAAAAAATTGCTCACTTCGTTGCGTGCAAGAAATCGATCTCAGCCGAAGAAACCGCTCGCCTGTTCATTGCAGCCGTCGTTCGACTGCACGGGATACCAGCCGCGATAATCAGCGACCGCGACACGAAGTTTACCAACAACTTCTGGAAGAACCTCTGGGAGCAGTTCGGGACCAGGCAACAGTTCAGTTCATCGTACCACCCCGAGACCGACGGTCAAACGGAGCGGATCAATCAGACGATGGAGCAGTTGATTCGGGCCACGTGCGACGACCCGACAACTTGGGAGCAGCAGCTGCCGCTGATCGAGTTCGCCTACAACATTGCCACGTCAGCGACGACGCAGCAGTCCCCATTTTACCTGAACTACGGGCAAAACCCAACAGTGCCCATGACGCCGAGTCCGGACAACACAACGCCACGAGCACAGCAATTCGCTGAGATTCTGCAAGTTGCCCGCACCAGAGCCGCAGAAGCAATTAAAAAGGCCAACGTCATCGCTAAACGCAACGCTGACCGCCACCGCCGCCCAGTCATGTACCAGTCAGGGGATTACGTACTGCTCGACACACATAACTTAAGAGTGCCCGTCGTACCAAAATTACGACCGCGCTATTATGGACCATTTCAAATCAGCCACATGATCACCCCAGTTACCGCCAACTTACTGTTGCCGATAGACTGGTACATCAGCCCATCATTCCACGTCAGCCTGCTTCGCCCTTACATCCCAAGCACGAGCCAACTGCCTCGTCACCGCTCGCCATCTATGACTCGCCCTGCATCGGAGCCGATCATCGAGCCCGAAAAAAATCTGAGCCATCGGATTCACTGTCAAATTACATTTGTATGTGTAGGCTGTAGTTGGGTAGCCTCTACTGAGTACAACACTTTAGGTAAAACCTAGTACTTGTACTCATCCTTGCTTGCTAGTCAATCATTCCTGCACAGTTGATTCTGACATGGTATTCAGAACAAGAAACCTGTTAGGTTTTTAGGGCCCACAGATCGTTCCGCTAGTTCCTGCCTGAAGCGCCCTTGCGCTGTCCGACCCTCTCGCACAGTGTCACGCTGCCCTGCAGCTACTCGCACTGTCTGCCCTAGCTCGCTGCCCTGCTGTCACGCGCGCCCCTGCTGCCCACGAGCAGCTCCTGCAACGCGCGCCCCTGCTGCCCGCGAGCAGCCCCTGCCCCGCGCGCCCCTGCTGGCCGCGAGAAGCCCCTGCCCCGCGCGCCACTGCTGCCTGCGAGCAGCCCCTGCCCCGAGCGCCCTTGCTGCCCGCGAGCAGCCCCTGCCCTGCGCGCCACTGCTGCCCGCGAGCAGCCCCTGACCCGAGCGCCCCTGCTGCCCGCGAGCAGCCCCTGCCCTGCGCGCCCCTTCTGCCCGCGAGCAGCCCCGCTGCTAAGCACGCCAGCACGCCCTGCAGCCTAGCGTGCAAGTGCGCCCCGCAGCCCAGCGCGCCAGCGCGCCCCGCAACCCTAAATAATAGTAATAATCATTAAAAAAAAAAAAAAAAAAAAAAAACCCATCGCTCCTTGCTGCCCAGCGCGCTGCTGCTGCACACGCTGCTACTGCTGCGCTGTGCCCTGCTGAACAGCGCAGCCCAGGCCGAGTCGTGCCGCCTAGCCCGAGCCGCACTCCTGCTACTACTGCTGCTGCTGCTGCTCGTGCTACTGCTGCTGCTGGGAGTGCTGGAGGAGCCGCTGCCCAGCCCCACCGAGCCGCCTTGCTGCTACTACTATTGCTGCTGCTGCTCGTGCTACTGCTGCTACTGGTGGAGGTGCGGCTGGGAGTACTGGAGGTGCTGCTGGTGCTGGAGGTGCTGGACCTACTACTGACCGTCACTGCCTGTCATGGTCACTATCACGGCAGTTGCAGTGGCTAGGGGTGGACAGCAGCGGTCACTGCCTCTCCCGGACGACCCCACCCCTCAGCAGCTTCGTGAGTGGGTTATTCAGTGAGGTAGTCCTGGTGGTGGAGTTTTTGGGTTTATGTGGCCCCAGCGACCTCGCGACTGTGCTTCTCAGCGATGCGTCCCTGGTCGTGTAGAGGCTGCTGCTCTCGGTTCTAGTGAGTCTGTTATCGCTCCGAGTGCTGGTGAGTCTGCTGCAGCTCTAGGTGCTCGTGAGTCTGTCGACGTTCTAAGTGCTAGTGCGTATACTGCCACAGATCCTGCCTCAGCTGAGGCCTTGCACACTTTCACGCTTGACCCAGGCGCGTCACGTTGCTTCTTTCGTGATTGCACCACAGTCACACCACTCGCAGCACCTGTCCCAGTCTCACTGGCTGACCCCACTGGGGGCCCGGTAGTTGCGCGAGCCTCCACTGTCCTCCCGTGTCCGGCAGTCCCCTCCGGGTCTCTCTCAGGTCTCCACCTCCCCGCGTTCTCGACGAACTTGTTGAGCAACGCAGTTTTCCGGGATGAACGGGTTGACACCTTCATTCCAGGAGGACAGTGTGTGGCGATCTGTAAGTGCTCACAGACTGGCCGTCACCTTGCTACGTTCACTCGTCAGCCTGGGTCCGGTCTGTACACCCTGACCATTGCGTTTGCACAGGTGGCTGAGTCAGGTCAGGTGTCTGCGTCGAATCGGGTGTCTGCGTCTGGTCAGCTTGCAGCGTCTTGCTCGTGTCGGTAACTCTCTCACCAGACTCTCCTCTGGCACCACCGCCTAGGTCACCCCTCGCTGCCGCGTCTCCGCAGCATGCACTCCCGTCTCCTTGTCTTTGGGCTTCCCAGATCCCTGCCCTCCCTCCCGTGCTCGCCTGCCTCGCCGTGCCTTCCCTACGTCCAGGGGCGGCAGCACGCCGCTCCTCACTCCTCCGAGTTTCCTCCGACCACTACTCCTCTGCAGACTCTCCACATGGACGTTTGGGGCCCGGCCCCCGTCGGTGGAACGGACCAGGAACGCTACTTCCTGCTGGTTGTTGACGACTACGCACGCTACACCACTGTCTTCCCCTTGCGGTGCAAGGCGGACGTCAGCGGTGCTTTGATCCCCTGGATCCGTGCTACTCGTCGCCAGCTGCGCGATCGGTTTCGTCCTGACTTCCCAGTCCTGCGTCTGCACTCTGACAGGGGCGGTGAGTTCTCTTCTGACCTGCTTGCGGAGTTCTGTCGAGACGAGGGCATCCGCCAGT